CTCGAAGAGGGAAATATATCTCAAGACTTTTAGTTTTTATTTTTACAGTTTTTACAGTTTCTAGATTTTTAGTACGTTGAATATGTAAAAAGACGTAATGTCTTCTTTTTCTAGTTCAAAGTTAAAAACTTTAATTCTTAATTGTATGTGTCTTGTTATAGATTGGCTAGAGGATGATTTTGTGTTTGCATGACTAGATCCCGAATTAAGGGCTTAATAATACTTTTTTAAGTTCCTGGACAAGAATTTTTTTACAAAACTTTGGCTAAACACTAGGTTAATTAAGCGACTAGCCATCTTTAGACGATATATGCCTTGATGGTTATTTTCTCTTTTACTTCCTAATTGGCTGAGTTGATCTACCTCACTCTAGGCCCGGTCGGTCAAAAGATGGCTAACTTGTGCTTTGGATTAGGCCAAATTACAAACAATATTTTCGCAAAATAAGAAGTGAAAAAGGCGTATTATTCTGTATTCACCTACATACCTTGAAAACTTTAAATTGTAAAAATCTTATTATCTACCCCTCCCCCCCTGCTTTTCAGGGATTTTACAACACTGATTTGGGGACTTTTTGCAGACTACTTGTGACGCATTTTAAAATCAATGAAATAACAAGTTATGAATGCCTCCTAACGCGAATGTTAATTTGAGATAGAAGACCACACCAAGGACTGGATCGGGGATGTACAAGCATCACCTCAGACAACTCAGTGCCGGATCCAAACCTTGAGATAAGGCGGGGGGGGGAATGGTCACCCAGACCCTTAGATAAGGTTGGGGGGGGGGCTCCAAAAAACATTTTTTCGGTTTGATCCAAAATAATTGGGGGGGGGGACCGGGCCCCCCGAGCCCCTCCATCCGCCACTGCTACTTTCATGGGAAACGGAAAGGAAATAGAACCAAAAGAACTTCGTGGCTGTTCTATCCCTCACCTACTAATTACATATACGAGGCATCTTGACGTTTGTGACAGCCCTGCTACAAAGTCTAACCGTTTGTAGATATTAATATGTAGATTTAGCCAGGGCTAAAGAGCGAAGCTCCCATTAATAAATATATAATTTAAATCAATCAATAAACTTGTAATCCACAAATCAGTTAACTTAAGGGCACATTCATGTGGCTTTTGAGGGGAAAGCTAAGTGATTTTAGAGTGAAGCATCTCACATCAAGTTGACTTATATGTAAAAATAATAAACGTCGCGCGTATCAAACGCTTTATAAGATTACACGTCGTTATAACTGAAACCATTAAATAACAAAAAATAATGATAATAAATTTGCGATTATGTTGAAGCGTATCTCTGTTAAAGTTCATTCAAACACTCGACCATGACTGACAGCTCGCACTAGAAATGAAAACCAGGTGGCCGTATGGGTGATTTTGGAAATTTTTTGAACGGTTTCGCTAAAAGCCCACGATTGATCGTCCTGAACATTGACAGAGTGCAATTTGTCTTGAAAAATTGTGAAATACCGTATATACTGTCCGAGGTCTGTATGATAAAAAGGTACTGTTTCACCTCAGATGTGATGTATAAAAAGTATAAAAGGTTGGTTTACACAACCTCAGATTTGTTGGCAAGAATTTGTAAAGTAAACCTATCAAACGCAAAAAAATTCGGCCTGATTTGTTTTCCAAGAATTTGTTTTCGAGGCCTAATCTACTGTGATCAAGAGCCATTATGGCTCTTGAATGTGATCGAATATATTTTTTGGGTTATTTTTTGCTATGTTTTGGGTGTACATATTTAGGCTATCAACTCGATGTAAGATGTTTCACTCTAAAATAACTTATCCTTTCCCTTAAAAGTCACATGAATGTGCCCTTAAGTTAACTGATTTGTGGATTACAAGTTTATTGTTTAACTTAAAATATAAATTTATTGATGGGAGCATCGCTTTTAGCCCTGGCTAAATCTATATATTACCTAATGCAATGTTAAACTTACACGCCAAGAAAGAGTGACCAGTCTTGAACATAACGTCATGACTTCAGATGGAACGCGGCTTAGTACCTAATGCAACGTTTCACTTACACGCCAAGAAAGTGTGACCAGTCTTGAACATAACGTCATGACTTCAGATGGAATGCGGCGTAGTATCGCATACAACACTTCACTTACTCGCCAACAAAGTGTGACCAGTCTTGATGCCATCGTGACTCCACATGGAGTATTGAATCAAGTCAGACGGTACCTGTTATAGCTCGGTTTAATTTTGTTCCATTCGTTCATATTAATGGCATCGCCTCTGTCATGTGTTAGTTTACCAAAACAAGAAACGGTGGCCATGTTAGTGAACCCCCCCCCCCCGCACAAAAAAAAGCACTGCTTATTTTAAAATAGGGAGAATTTTGTAATGAGACAAAAGCAATAAATAAATATAAGCAAACAATATAAAGGTTAGAGTTCAGATTTGGTTTCTTCAGTATTTGTATCATCTGGCCTAATTTGTATAATACTTTTCCCGATATTTTCATTCGACTCCATTCTTTTGTGAGCTAGCTGGATTTGATCCATGGTGAAAACTGAATCCACAATAGTCTTTAGTCTTCCATTTGCAAACTGTGGAACAATTCTTTCTGAAAACTCTTGTACCAGTTCTCTTTTGTACTGCAAAAGAATGGGGGAAAATAATGATAAGCCGTTTTTTGTGTAAGGCATCGTAAAAGTACTTGCAGGGGGTCTTCTTGCTGCACTAATACCACAATGCTGTTTTCAGATAGAGGGGCCGGGGGGGTGGTGTTTAGGGGGGTCCGAACCACCCACCTCCCGTGCCTAGCATTTCTGCCTCCCACCCCTTTATTAGCCCTTTTACAATCGCAAAATAATCAGGAGTTTTGCATAATTTCCCCCTTTTCCTTCCACTTCCCGCCTCCCCCACATTCCCACCCCGTTGCCCTCTTCCACTTTTTCGTTATTAACTGTGGGGATTCTGTACTGTAAACCCTGTTAGTACGGACACTGAGAAGGCCTTAGAAAGTGTCCATATTAATGGAGTGTCTGTAGAAAGCAGGTTGAATTTAGAGAAAATGTAAGGACTTTCTTTCCCAAGAGACAAAGCAAGCTGTCCGTAATGACGAGGTGTCCATATTAAGTGGGTGTCTATGAAGCAGGGTTTGGCTGTGGTTGATGTACAGTCGAACCTCCGCCAACACCAACCTCTCTACAATGGCCACCTCTCTAAAACCGCCACTTTTTTTCATCCCGGTGAACAAAAAATCCATACATATTGACTCTTGTTTAAAGCTCTCTACAATGGCCACTTCTTCACAATGGCCACTTTCTTCTGTCCCCAAGGTCAGGGGAAAATATCTGTTCAGAAGACGATTTGAGATCTAGAATTTTCGGAACATTTTTTGTACAATTTCTTGCTTGCCTGCCTCTCCTAGGATTTTCGAACATCTAAAAAATGGTATAATTGCCCATTTTTAAAGGATTTTTACCCTTAAAAGGTCACCTAGAAATTTCGGGAGCCTTTTCTCTGGCTGAAATTTTCGGAAAGGTAAGTCTTGATCCCTATAATTTTTGGATCACTAGACTTTTAGCTAGGAAATCCGAACAGATGAAAAAGTTTAGGGGATAAAAATATGCCTATATAGATCTACCATTTAAATACTAAAATACGTTCAACAATGCTATGTTTAAGTGGTTTTGAACTATATTCTCGTTGGGCGCCCCTGCAAGGTGGCCATCGTTAAGAGGTTCAACTTTAAAATTTCTAAATTTCTCAACTAAATTTCTATCTACATTTGGTATTGACAATGTAGAGATCCTGAAACAAAAGAATAATAACTTACACCAAGGGATCTACTCCTCAGTGTCGTTCCTATAAGTGAAGCTCTTTTCCTTAGGATGTCCCTGAGGAGGTCACCTGAGACATTACTGCCACCCAAAAGACCATACAAGATCCAACGACCATCAACAGCAAGACTCTTTATATTCTGTTCCCAAAATGAGCTTCCCACACAATCAAGGATGACATTTGCTCCTCGACCTAGAAGAAAATAAAACAATAATAGATCTTAATTTAAGCATACAAACTCCAGTTAAGCAAATTTTTTTTCTTTATTTATTTCTTTTCTTATTTTCATTTTCTTATTTTTTGGGTTGATTATAATGCCATGGGGGTGGGATGTTAGAATAGGTATTTTAGTCCCCTAAGACTTTGTAAGGAACCTTTAGTGGGAACTTCAACAATCAGATCAAGATTGAGTTTCAAAGCAAGTTATGTTTGTGTGCTTGTTACTTTGCCACACCTCTTTGTATCCATTAGCAACAGAAGCTTTTGAGCATTTAGGGAAAGAACAGGCTTAGAATTTCAGTCAAGCAAAGAACAAATTAACAAAAACTTCTAGCCCTGTAAGCTGGCTTGTAAATTTTAAACTACAGTCAAACTCTGTTAATACAGACACTTAGGGGGCCATAGAAAGTGTCCCTATATTAACGCGGTGTCCGTGTTAAGTGGGCTGAATTTAGAGAAAATATAAGGACTAGGTACAAGGAAAACTATCCATAGTAACAAGGTGTCCATATTAGGAAGATGTCTGTAAAGTAGGGTTCGACTGTAATAAAAAAAATATAGGTGATGCGTACATCCACAGTACATAATTCTTAGCAAGTTTAGGAATCATTTTTAGCCAGAACAACAAGTACCATTTGTAACATTTTCCACCCAACTGGAGAAATTTCCTGTTTTGTAGTCAAAGCCTCCTTCAGCTCCTAGTGACTCAGCCATCTTAATCTTTTCCTCTGATCCCGCAGTAACAAAAGGCCTTGCTCCAGCTAACCTTGACAGTTGTACCAGAGCAGTACCAACGCCGCTGCCCCGGCATGGATTAATACTACTTCACCACTCTTAACTTTGCCAAGAAAATGCAATAGTTGATATGCTGTTAACCAAACTTCAGGGATGGCCGCAGCATCCGAGAGTTTGTAAGAGTCTGGGACAGGCATTACAAGTGCTTCATCAACAGCCACATACTCAGCATAACC